CATCTATGGATGAGGACAGTGGGTGGGGAGTGAGGGCAGAGGGTGGGGTGGGAACTGGGTGGATGGAGGGGAGTTATGGGGGGAAAAAAGAGGAACAAATGTAATAATCTGAACAATAAAGATTTAATTTTAAAAAATTTACCAAATTTTAACACTCTCAAAGACCGTTTTTAAAAGTTCTTTTAAAGATTTAGGGGAAAATGAGTGCTATCCAGCCACTAGAAGCCTTCATGTTCATGAATCTAAAAGAAAACAGAATCTTACAAAAACAGTTTACTGAAATAGGTAAGCACCCCCAGATCTAAAAGACAACACAACCCTAACCCAATCCCATCCAGACCCACCCCCAGGACCTCCCAGGAGGTCAATGAATACTTTAAAACCAGACTGCCAAACATGTGAAAATACCTAGGAAAACACGGAAAAATTAAAAAATCGGGGAGAAGCGTGTGGCAACTAGCCCTACCAGGTGTGAAAAATACTATAAAGCCTCTAACGTTAAAACTGCCACAAGAATGAATAAATAAAAAGAGATAAGAACTGGAAGATCAATAAAGGTAGAGAATTTTTTAAAAATTAAAATAAAATAAAGAGATAAATAGACCAGTGGAACAGAATAGAAAGTCTAAACACAGACTCAAGGACACACAGAAGTTTAAATATGATAAAGGTGACTTCTTAAATCACTAGGGCAAAGATGGACTTTCTAATAAGTGGTGCTGGGATACCTGAATAGCCCAAAGGTGCTCCAGTAAGAGCATGATGAAAGGCCGATGTATCTGCAGCCCTGGTGAACTGAGGATGATCTGGGTCTTTCTCAGAGCCAGGAAACCAGCTGCAGGCAAGAACTAGTTTGTAGCCCTGAGGAGTTAAGAGCAGCCAAGAAGAATCTGACCACTGCTCCTAAAGAGCTCCACCCATCCCCTGAACATGCTATGACTTGAAAAGTTTCAAAAGTCTGATTCTTGCCCTGGCCGGGTAGCTCATTGGTTGGAGTGTTGTCCTAATGCACCAAGGTTGCAGTTTGATCCCCAATCAGGGCACATGCAAGAATCAACCAGTGAATGCACGAATATGTGGAACAACAAATCGGTGTTTCTCTCTCTCCCTCCTTTCTAAAATAAGCATTTTTTAAAATGTTTTAAAATTTTTCTTTTAAGTCTGATTATTTTTCTAGAGCTTAGAATATACTTGTAAAGCCCCTGATTTCCATATTATACACATATGTTAACACACAAAAGCCCCCTTCCTCTCACCAATTTCAAAATGTTATTATTATTATCCTCCTTTGCCAGGTGAGAAGATCAAGGTTCAGAGACTTGCCCAGAATTACAGTGTTTAAGTAGTAGAACACGGAATCCAATTCTTGTCTTTCTACTCCAGATTTTATATTTTGACCCTCAAACCTTGTTTTCTGCTCTCTCAGTACCTTCAACCAGAACCACCCTGGATCGACCCTCTCATAGGCCTGATGGAAGAATCTGCTACTCAATGATGCCAGGACCCCAGGGACAGTAACCTCGGAGTCTGACCCACACGGTCAGGCTCTTTGGGAGAGGCTGCCTTTCTTCGAGGGGCAGCAAGCAGGAAATAGCTTTCATTCATGACCTTTGGGAAGGTCAGAGTAGAGAAATTAGCACTGTTGTGTTCTGTGATCTGTCAGGCATTGCATTAAGCACTTCACAAACATAATCATAGAAATAATCTATCTCCCAAGAGAAATGAAAACATGTCCACATATATTCTTCTACAGTAACATTCACAGCAGCATTATTCATAATAGCCATTGAGAAGTAATCCAAATGTCATCAACTGACCAATGGATAAACCAAATGTGATATACCCACACAATGGAGTATGACTCAGCCATAAAAACAATGAAGGACTGATACACACTACCACACGTATGAACCTCGAAAACACTATGCTAAGTGGACAGAAGCGAGTCCAAAAGTCCACATTTGTATGAGTCCATTTATATAAAACTAGAGGCCCGGTGCATGAAATTAATGCGCGGATCCTGTCCCTAGGCCTGGCCTGCGATCAGGGCCATCTTACCCGGCTGCCCAGTCAGCCCCACCCCTACCGCCACCCACCCCAATTCCTGGTTCACCATCAGGCGACTGCTGCCTGTCGCCTGGGGAAAGGGTCTGAGAGGTGGTCAGTGTATCTCATAGTAACTGGTCGAGCAGTCGCTCTGGTCATTCTGCCATTAGGGTCATTTTGCATATTACCCTTTTATAATATAGGAAGGAGGATGTCTAGAGTAGGGAACTCTGTAGAGACAGAAGGCGGATTCGTGGTTGCTTAGGACGGAAAGGGATAGGGGTGCTACTGGCTGAGAAGTGCGTGTTTCACCCTGGCCGGCGTGGCTCAGTGGATAGAGCGCCACCTGCACACTGAAGGGTCCCGGTTGGTTCCATTCCAGTCAAGGACCCGTCCCTCTGCTGCCTGGTCAGGGAGCACCGGGAGGCAGCCAACCAATGTGCCTCTCTCACATCCATGTTTCTCTCTCTCTCTCCCCCACTCCTCTCTCTCTCTCTAAAATCAACGGAAAAATACCCTCAGGTGAGGATGAACAACAACAACAAAAGGAGTCCGGGTTTCTTCTCTGGTGGGATGAAAGTGTCAAATGGACTGGTGAAGGTTGCACAGCTCTATGAATATACTAAGAACCATTACACTGTACACTTTAAGTGGATGAATTTTTATGGTATGCGAGTTATACCTCCTCAATAAAGCCGGTAAAGAAGGAAGAAAGGGAGAAAAGGGGAGGGGAGGAGAGAGGAAGGAAAGGAGGGAGGGTCCATCAAAGCACCTAGCACTGTGTGCTGGACACGTAATAGGAAGTCAATTTCATTTCACACGCGAGGAGACTATTTGATAACAGTATCACCGACATCCAAACAGCAATGTGTCCGCCCCAAAGCCCGGGCTTTAGTATTCCACCACGTCTGTCACTACACCTTTGTCAAGGGACTTAGCAAGCAATTCGAAGAAGCAGGGTTCTTATGAACACAGTGGTTAGGGCTATGGAGCACAAGATGGTTAAAAAATCATTTAAAAAACAGACCACCAGCAGAAGCTACCGCAGGCGGCAGCGGAGCTTGCCTACCTCACAGGGGGGCCGCTTTCTGCACACTGCCCCACCTCCCAAAAGCAGGGTCACCGGAACTGGGCCGCCATGTTTGGACTATGACCCCGCCCCCCAGCCACAGCTGATTGGCCCTAGAGGCGGCCTCCCTCAAGTCGGACCAATCAGCTTCCGTCCAAGGGAGGTTTGTTCATGGGTGTGGCCCAGAGGGAACCAGGAGACGGCACTGGGCGGCAGCCATTTCCCACCCTGCGGACTGAGTCCCCGGGAGCGTGGCTGCGGGGGAGAACGATGGGGTGGGAAGATGGCTGTGCACCCCTGGATCCCGTCCACTCTTGAGGCCAGACTGCATTCCCGCCTGCGGTTCCACGGGATACCTTCATGCCCTTGTTTGCTCAAGCGACCAAAAGAATTCACACTAACACAGACGGTCACGTTCCAGTTCTGTTAAATTACCTTCCTCCAGCGAAAAAGGAAAGCTGTTTCTTCACGGAGTTTTAAACACGAGTCTGCAGCCATAGGGCTGAGGCTGAGCAAACTTCAGCTACTAAGGGACACCCCCGCGCCCCCCCTTAGGTTTGCCGTGGGCGGTTGGGCCTGAGCCGGTCACGCCCATCACTGTATTGAGGGTCAGCAGAGCAGCAGCCATCGGTCCCTTCCCTCTCCAAGGTGACTCTTAATGGCACTGGAGCTGCTGGGAACATCTCAAGCCTTAGTGAGGCCGATGCCATGAGATTTCGCCTTCCTAAGGACCCTAAACAGCAGCTGACAAGCATCTGCTGCACCCTTGGATGAAGGTAAAGGACATGGCATCGGGAGGTGTGCACTTCCCTTCTTTCCCCCATAAAATCCCACTAAAAATCTCTGGCCTTACCCGGCCAGTGTGGCTCAGTGGTTGAGCCTCGCCTCGTGAACTGATAGGTTACCTTCTCATCATTAATTTTTTTTATCACTCTCCCTTTCTCTCTGAAATCAATAAAAAAAAGTATATGTAAAAGGTGGTTGTCTCCGCATCGCCGTGGAACTCAGCTCCATCAGCGTTCCTCGACATCTGCCATTGTTTCGTCTCGTGGGCCCCCTGGAGGAGTCACCGTTGCCCCGGCACCATCAGATCCCAACCGCCAGGAAGCCGGCGCCATCATGCCCAAGAATAAAGGGAAAGGAGGTAAAAACAGGCGAAGAGGTAAGAATGAGAATGAATCTGAAAAGAGAGAACTGGTCTTTAAAGAGGATGGCCAAGAGTATGCTCAGGTAATCAAAATGCTGGGAAATGGACGATTAGAAGCAATGTGTTTTGATGGTGTAAAGAGGTTATGTCATATCAGAGGAAAACTGAGAAAAAAGGTTTGGATAAATACCTCAGACATTATATTGGTTGGTCTGCGAGACTATCAGGATAACAAAGCTGATGTAATTTTAAAGTACAATGCAGATGAAGCTAGAAGTCTGAAGGCATACGGCGAGCTTCCAGAACATGCTAAAATCAACGAAACTGATACATTTGGTCCTGGAGATGATGATGAAATCCAGTTTGATGACATTGGAGATGATGATGAAGACATTGACGATATCTAAATTGAACTTAAAGTTTCAGAGTATTTGTTCCATAGTTTGGATTTTGGCCATTACCTGTCAAGAAGACTAAAACTTCAGGATAACTGCAATTTGCTAACACACACTGATTTGTTTTGTTTTCATGTATTATTATCTTTAAATGAGCTGTGAACACTTTTTTCTTTTGATGTACTGAAACTTAGGAATAAAAGATCACAAGGTCTGCTGTTAAAACATAGAAAGGAGAGGGGGAAAGAGAGCGAGAGAATGAATAAAGTAAATGTTTCCAGTTAATGGATGTTTTGACTAAATTGCTTTATCTTTATGGTCAGTGATAAGTCCTAGTTCCAAGTAATTTCTTTTTCAGTCTTCCTGTATGTTACCTAGATATTCTCTTTAATTTTTGATAAAAATTTGAGGAAGTTAGAAATCTACATTTGAAGTTAAGAAAAGGGGCTATTTTTTAATATTTCTGTAGCTGGATACTGTATTTTCAAACTATGATAACATTTTTTTCATCATTTCATGCTGTCATAAATAACTAGCATTTACAAACTGCTTATTGTAGAACATAGGCTTGAGTGGCAATTTTTAATTTATAAGATGAGTAGTTGCAAAAATTCAATGCTAGGTAGTAACTCAAAATTGGAAGTACTAATATACTAGTCGAAAGTGTTTTTTACTTACTGTGTACAAAATTTCTTAAACAAGACAACTTTTAATGGCAAAATAAGGAGAATAGTTTGTACTATACCAAAAAATTGTTAAAATGTGTCATTTTATTTTCAAAACTCATGCGTTTGTAACCTATAGTTTTGGGCTTTATGAACAATTAAATTACAATGTATAAATTAAAAAACTAATTTTATAATAAACTGGGACCACAGCTAAGAAATATAATAAAATGTCCATTGGGTATATTTTGGCTTTAAAAAAACACACCAAAAACCCCACAACCCTCTGGCCTTTTACTGGAATGAACCAATGAGAGGCTAGTGTGGGTAAAAGAACGAACAAAAGGCATGCATGTCTTTTTCAGTTCTTATTTTGAATCTGGGATAGACAAGAAAGCAGAGCTCACATCTCCCCCACACACTGACACATTTGAATGAAAAGCGTTTACAAGAGGCTGCAGAGTCTGGACTCCAGAAGGAAGAGCTGACTTGACAGGATGAAAGGGATGGAGAAATCCTTTTCCCATCCCTCTGACTATTTATGGGAGTCATTTCCCTTCAGGAAATGCTGAGCCCCTTCTCCCAGGACCCTGTTGGCAACAACGCCTGCACTGGCTGACCCAGCCTTCCACATCCTCCTCCTGGCCTCAGTGCTCGCCCCTTGTGACCCAGCTGGTCACTGGGAACCCAGCCTGCAAATGACAGCGC